CATTTTTGCCCTACGTGCCCCAAGCAGCCTCTTTTTAAACAGAGTCGGTGATGAAATTACTTGAAAATTGAATTTGTTTTAAGATTAAAAAATTAATTCCAGCTTCGAAAGCATTGATTTTAGATGTTTTATTATTAACAGTTTTCTTATTTTTTGTTAAAATCTTTTGCCCCGTCCGGTTACTAGCACACTCACACTATACGCAAATCGAATAATTTGTATATACGTGCATATACCCCACATGAATGTACATATGTATGTGATGGCGCCGGTGCCAGTTTACCTAAACTAATAAGTGCAAATTTATGCATTCATTTCAACGTACTTATTCATTTAACGAGTTTGTTGAACCGAACCATACCCACACAATAGGTGTATACAATTTAATTATTTTAAATGCAAATTCTAATATCGAGGAAAAGATGAAAGCGTGGAGCAGTTGTGGGTGTTAAAGTGATATTTTCAATTAGATTTAAACAATTTTTATAAGCACGCAAATTGAATTTTATGCCACACACATATACAAACAAACACATGCACGTTCTTTTCATTTAATTGAACAGTTTATTGCGATCAACCGCATAATTTTCTAAATTGTCATGGACATTTCAACTTTAGGCTTCTCTTTGCTGCTATAGGTATAAATTTTAATACCAGTACTAAGTTCTTTGGAAGAAAGTATAAGACAATCAATCTTTTAATTTTAAGAGTTCACCACAGTTGGTGAGAAATTTCAAAAGCTTAAATTTTACACTTCAAATTTAACGACGAGCTCAAGTTCATAATTAAGTTGCTTTCTAAGGAAGCAAACCGAAAGTACTGAGTAAAGAAGTTCGTTCTACTGGACGTTTTGTTAAAGGTTTGCATTGTTTTCCTTCGCTAGAAGTAGTCGAATCTAGGTTAGCTCAGTATTTTTCCCAGATGCAAATGAAATCGATAAAAACCGTGGACCATCAAATATTCTTTCTTTTAAAGTTTTCAAAGATTTTCTGGCTTTTTTTATTTATTCAATTACATTTACTTTTACAAATTTGGAATACCAATCTATTAAAGAGCCAAAAAACGCGTTTCACACCTTTTTTCTTGTGAAGCTGCGCTTTTTGGTGTCAATTCGAACACTAAAACCGTCTGCAGCCTGCCGAAAATATGTTTCCGAGACCTTAACTACGTAACTTATGAAATCGTTGTTGTGGTGTTAAGGGAATATGATCCGTTATAAGATAATTGGCACTTATAGAATATATATATATATACATAATTAGAGTACACAATTTACAACAAACTGTATTAATAATAACTCATTTCTACAGTACTTCAAGACAATTTCGGAAATTTTAGAATAACATGACCTCGTTATCATTGCCTTGAAAATGTGAAAAATCTAATATAATAAATCATATAAAACAAGAACAACATGTTTGTGTATTTATAAGGGATTGTCGGCCGCAATGGCCGAGTGCTGAGCAGCGCGTACTACAATTCAGTAGACATGCGTTCGAGTACTCGTCCGACTAACATTTAACATTCATTCATTATAGAAATCTAATTAAAATAAAAAATTAAGTTAAATTTTCTAATTGCGGTCGACCCTCGGCAGGGAATGTCCACCCCTCCGAGTGTTTTTCTGACATGAAGCAAAGGCTCCTAATAAAAATCCATCAGGCGTTCAGAGTCGGCTTAGTATAAACTGTAGGTCTCTCCATTTGTTGGAAAAACAACAATGGGCACACATGTTGTTGTGGAAAAGCTCGGCCGATAAACGCTTCAGCGGTTACAATGCGCTAATTACATGTAGGCGATTACTTAAAATGCATTTTCAAAGTTTTTCATCAAAGCAGAAAATCATGAATATAAACCAGAAAATATGGGGGAGAAAATGTAGTTTATGCGCATTCTTCTGTGTTTTGTATAGACTTAATGCAGACAATCAAGGCGATTTATGGGCTTAGTTTTTGCTTGTAGAGTGTCTGGGCGATGAAGCTTTATAAATTTAAGCAAAACTGCCTCGGGCGGCAATGAGTTGCAGTATGCAGCTTGTGCGACAGTCGCTTATGTAGTATTCGTCTTTGTATATTTAGAATTGATTTTTTGTGTTTGCTGGCGAGAACCGGGTGCGACCACAAGACCGCGAAAAGAAAACGCTATAAATGCGCCACATGCGGTGTTTATTTATACACATCGCATATATTTTTAATTTCTCGAAAATAAGCTGGCAATATTATGAGAGTCGACGCGACATCAAAAAAAATTTATATTTTATGAACAACAAAGAGACGAAAGCGCATTATGCGGCTGCAGGCAAAAGAAGGAAAAAGAAAAAATTTAAGAATTAAAATTTTGAAAAACAAATTCACTCGCATAAGCGCGAGCCGCCACATTCGGACTACATAAATTTGGTCATAATTACACGCCTCAATTACGGATAACGGCGGCTGGCGGCTGGTGGCTGGTGGCTGTTTGCTGTGATGCGCTACTGACGGCATGCTGTTTTGTTGCTTGTGATGGCTTTTGATGACGCGTTTCCCACAATGAAGTATATACGCATTGCGGTCTCTCAAAAGCGTTTCAATGCATTGTAGCGTGGAAAATAGGAAAACGTAATATCAAGAAAGAATATATTTTGGGAATTGCCGTTCGAATGAGATTACGAACAAACATGTAAAAGTATGTTTGGTATTATACTTTCACTAAGGCATTGCCAGCTCACCCATTCACACTGAAGATGGTGTAATTCGTACGGTCCTCTGCGCATCTTTTAAAATATTAGTTTGCAATAGTAGTGGGAACTAACATAAAAGGAAAAGATAGTGAGTTTTACAGAATCCGCAAAATATGCTCATACAATAAACCCTGTCGATCCAAGTGTGTTAGTAGTAAAAACTAGAGATACCAAGGACAGAAAAAAGTTTTATGAAGTTATGATAATCACAATGCCACAAATAAATTCTGTCTCCACCACAAGAAGAAATAATCGCTGCCGCAGCTTATTTACCTTCAATATCCCGAAACTAAGTGTGATACCCATTATCATTTTACTACAGCAAAGCTCGCAACACCTTTTTAATTCGGCTTCGCCCCATTGAGCTTTACAAAGGATTGCTAATACAGTAACAGCTAGGCGTTACAACTAGGCAACTTTCACGATTCACAGTCATTAAAATATTTCCCTCGGTCAGAAATAGTGTGTATGTACTTATGTACATGCATATGTGTCGCTCTGTATGGAATTATTATGTACATTTCCTAATAAATTTGTTAGCAAAAACTATTAAGAATTTAATATATAATTTATGAGTGATTTTAATTTTAATATTTTCTCAAGTTTTACGTTGGCCATCTCTTAAGCGATCATATTTCAAGTGGAAAATATTATCATTAGATTCATAAGCGTAAATAAGTAGAAAACAAAGTATAAAGCAAAGGAGCGAATAGAAAAGTTTGAAGAGGCTCGTAAACATGTCACTCACTGACGACGTACTTATAATTAACACTGGCTATTATCAGCAGGCGGACGAAAAAGACCAAATGAAAATAAAACTGCCAACTTTATTGTGAAGGAATTGCCTTCAATTGGTGTTACAATTATCAACTATAGCTAGTGTTGCATAGAAATAACTTAAAATAAGGAATTCAACCAGGCTGAAGACTGGAGAAGATTTTTGGTTTCACCATAAAATGGAATTTCTTAAAATATGGAAAGCTTTTTCCTCTGTAACATGAAAAAATAAAAACAAATTCTATGTAATATTTATTGAAAATTTTTTGGCATTTCTCGAGAGGCATTTCAAATTATTTCGAGATAAAATCATACCTACCTCATTTACTCAACTCAAAATATGTACAAATATATGTACGAATATTCCTAAAGCCAGCCGAATAGGCGTTGGAGAAATCACTATTGCACAACACTATCCTACCATGAAGACTTGCAGTCTTGGAGTTCTGCATGCGACTTAAATCTTTGTAACCCAGCAACTAGACTGTTATGCCATAAATTCAATGTGGCTTTTGTAGTTGTTGTCTCTGTGGCTGCTTACACAACTCTTAGCAGCAGCCACAACACCATCGCCAACCACACAGACAAACAAAAAAAAACTCCATCAAGTGTTGTTAATGAGTTCTTGTGTCAAATGGCGTAAAAATAATGTCAACTTGAGTAATGGCAGCAGGCAGCAGCACGCACTTGACGCCATAAAATATACGGAGCGAGAAAGTCAAATGGTAGAACGCAAGATCATCACCGCGCAATGGCAGCATCTTCATTATCAGAAGACATTCTTATCATCAGCAGTGAGTTCGTAATTACCATTAACACTGTGTAGAAATATACGAAAATTGTGTTCTGGTGCTCAACGAGGCCTTTCACAGACTATAACACTGTTATATATGTATGTATCTACATACACGTATGTATGTAGTATGTATTTCTCACGAAAATACTTGCCCATTTCGCGCCACCATGAGAAGTTCCTCCAGTGGTAAGCTCTTGGTTTTGATCTTTTCATTTTATTTTGGTCTATTTCTATTTCACTGCTTTTTTGTTGTTTAAAAAATTAAGAAAGCTACTCCTTTAATTATATGTTGATCACACTGCACACTGTTTCTGGTTCCCTCTTGCTTGTTTATTTTTAGACGCTGTCACAGTGTAAATGAAGTTTAATTTGCAAAATTAGTCGGAGCTCATATTTTAATAAGAAAAAATGAAGCTAATTTCAATTTAAAAATAAACATTTGCAGTTGTTGCTCGCTCATCAAGGCTTCCAATGTAGCCATGGTTGTTTCTCGATATTTTTGAGCCAAGAGAATCAGGAAGTCACATAAACTGCCAGTGGATTTAAATGAAAATGTACCAGCGCTGCTGTTTGCTAAAAGTGCCATGAAGTCGTCAGGCAAATAAAAATGTTCGCTTTATAAGTTTTTAGTGACTTATTTGAGGGAAAAATATTAATAATAATCAACTCTATTAACTCTTATAATGAGCACATATAAATATTACATACTTGCCAATATTTGATAATATATTATTTCCTCTATATTATTTATCAGGTTATCTGAAAAATAGAAAATTAATAAAATATTAAAAAAATTAATGTGCAAAAAATATTTAATTATATGTTTATATATTTCTACAATATAAATTACTATTTCAATAGCCATTACCAAAATCACCAAAGCCTCACAGAATTACCTATAGCTTTAGCAGCAAAACTATGTCACTTCAGCTTTTGAGGGAAAAATCACATTTCAACTCTTCGTTAGAAGCTGCTCCAACTTGTAAATATCGTAAAGATTTGCCATATCCTTCGGATTCGACGATTATTGGATTGTTAAATAAAAGTACCAAAATTGTTGTACTGTTTCTTTATTGTAATGAATTTACTGAATTATTTGTATATTTATTACTCAATAACTAACACAACACTCGCAGCAGGTGACACTAGCCTTCACTCTTGCATACCCACTGTGTGCTCGCTTACATCCCTAATAGGGAAAACGAAATGTTCTCGATATCGAATATTCGATTGAAGCCTATTAATTTTTGTAATTAAAAAAATTTTACCTCGATTATTAAATTACTCGTTATTTGTTAACGTCTCTATAGATTAATTATATATTAATCTGTGTAAAGAGCTATTTATGTTCCACTTATGAAGCCCGCTCCACACCCTCCAAGTTTCAGGCTCCTGCCATCAGTGTGGTTTAGGCTGTGTAGATCCCTTATTTTAGGTGTAGTTAAAAGAAATCCATTATTTTTGGATGAAATTGAAGGCTCTAATTTTAACTTTTTGCATCCAGCCTTTTTCAAATGATTGCAAATGGATTTTGTGCAATCCTTAGCTCTTAGGCAATCGATGGTCGGGCTCGACAATGTCCTTCAATCATCTTAGACGCACGCTCACAAAGCGAGATACAGATAATGGATTTCTTTTTACTACACCCAATATAACACAAAAGGCGCTTTCAGCTAAGTTTCTTCCAATTTTACAAAAGAATACAATTTTAGTCTTGCACACATATTTATGAATCTAAGATGTTCCTTTTTAGTTAAAACCAATCAAGTCTTTTTCGATAACTTTAATGAAGATATTGCAACAATGGTCATTAAGTAATTATAATATTAAAGAAATTAATTTATTGCAAAATAAGGAAAACAACGAAAATGTTGTAAACCCATTTGGAAATAATTGCAATTGTAATTGCTATCAGCATTACCATCTACACAGAACCGAAATGGCAAATGCACTGCACGAACAAATTCCAATGACAATGGCAACAGCAACAGCAACAGCAACAGCAGAGGCAACCAATAACCAACAACCGATAAATGCCAACAGACATAAATAAATAAAACGTAAATAGCGTGCGAAGTCAAGCAAAACTAAAAGCCATCATAACAATTACACCAAACAGAGTTTGATCAGAGACAGTGGAGAACAATTTACGGACAATCGAAGAAGAAATGTACAACAACTACAACAGCGGCAGCTAAGATTGGAGTTATTTTGAATTTCAATTAAAATTGCACAAAAACCGGGCAGCAATTGAGTGAGAGATCTGCCGAACGAACGGAATAATAAAACTTGTAAATAGCAGCAAGAGACGTCAAGTACAAGTACTTGAAAATGAGGCAATCACAGACAAAAACAGGCCACACAATGAGCAGTGAAAAGGAGCTAAGCGGAGGGCTTTGCATTGAGGCAAAAACTGCAGCAACTGCAATGACAGATACCAACATGGCAACGCCAAGCAGTCAGCAGCCTAACCCTTGCAGCCTACAGCCTACAGCCAGAGTACTCGCCGTTGTTTGTAGGGCAGTTTTGTTTGGCTGCGAACTGCAATTACTCGTATAAAAACCAAATCTCCTGACAATCGAATAATCGCACTGATAGTTGCAGAAGTTTCAGCCAACTTGAAGGCGGGCGGGGTGAGGCGTTTACGAGTAACAAAACAAATGTGCAAAACGACAGCTTTTGTAAATAATGGAAGAAGAAATCCGTTGCAAAAGACGTCTCGGAGCAACTTAACAATTGCAACAAACTCACTTAGGTACATACATACATACACATACTTGGTACCAACATGCTTGCTGGCCAAGAAATAGATGTTGCTAGAAATATATTTGCCTTTTTTTGCACTTTCAATGTCTGTACGTACTTTCTGGCGCCCTTTGGCACAAACTTGATGCACAGTGAAGTGCAGTTCACGTCCAAGTGTGTGTTTTAATAGCGATGCCGGAAGAAGTGCCGCGTACAAGACGGAATAAACACTCCGACTGACGTGACGACTGTCCGCCTAGCTGACCGTTGAATGAGATGGATGCGAAAATTTCCACGCGCCTTGGGCAACGCATTAAAATTCTATCTAAAATTCCGCATTGTGTGGAACGCGCAAGAATTGCAAAATTACAGCATCCTTTGGTGCAAATTTACAACGTGCCGTCCAACTCTTACATACCTAGCTAAGTATAAATTCCTTTCGTATGTTCGTATGCTTATATTAAGCGCATTTTTATGAAGGTCCACAAGTACACTGATTTATATACATTTGGATGTACTCGTATGTATGTATTTTTAGCTGCGCTAACAAACTCTGAAATCACAAAAAGAATTTCCTATCGAAATTGCATAAACATCCCCGATACAGAAGAAAATTTAATTAGTATAGTTAATTGTTTATTTTCACACAAGCGCGGCGATAAATATTTTATTATTCTCATTCATTTTTAAGGTTTTCTAACAATGTTTATATTTAAGTGCATAGATTCAAACATATACACTTATTACTAAGCATTGTGAAGCAATTCTATTTTTAGAAAAATGTTCATAAATGTAAAATTTTTCTGGTGGCGTTATGACGTAAAAAAAAACTTAAGCCAAAGCAAATAATATTATGGCCTAAATTTTCTTTCCTTCATAGAGTCTACCCTCGGTATGTTGATGGCTCTTCGTGTATTTCTGCCCTGAAAAAGCTTCGCCTCGGAATAAGAGTTCAACAGCAGATCAATACAATCGTAATCGTAATAATCTGCTTGATCATCCCAGTCTTGAGAGTCAACACTCATGTGGCAAGATGCACCAGCGAGAGAAAATCTATCAAAGAAACCCCCAAATATAAGAGGGATATAGCAGCTTTCTTAATCCTTTTATACAGGCTTCAAAACTTATGAAATTATTTGTTTCAAAAAGAGCATGTTACTGTATGAATTTCGAACAGAAAATAACCTTTACATTTTGAAACAGGAAAAATATATTTATTTTTATGGGAAGCTATTAACTTTTATTTAAATGCGCTTTGAGGTGTTCAAATTCCCCGCTAACCGACCGGCCTAGCCATAATTCGAAGAATTAAGCCACCCAAGGACGCGCTACTAGCCGCCCGGCTACTATGCCTATGCACAATTGTGAGCTCAACATAGAATAGAATAGATGAGTATTAGTAGAATAACTACTATCTTTTGTACTTTGGTTTTCAAATCTGTCCTGCATTGCTAATGCCACTTGGGAAGAAGAAAAAAAGGTTTTAAGCAAAAGATTCAAACTGGAATAGAAGCGTTTTTAAAATCACTGAGTAAAAGATAACTACTCACGAACCCGGCCGCAGTAGCGGAGTGATTAACACACGTACTAACATTCGGAATGCCTATATTCGAGTCCTGGTCCGATTAACATAGACAAAAAATTACAGAAAATTATTTTTTTTTTATTTTGTGGTCGGCCGGAATGTCAAGACCTCAGGCTCCTCCTAAAAACCCGTACCGAGGCGGCTTAGATTAAATTGTAGACCCCACGATTTGTTGGAAAAACGTCAAGGCGCTCAGCTCAAATTGGTGAAGGAGATCGGTCGAAAAGCGCCAATTTTTATTTAGTACATATATTCCCTTATGTAGGCAAGTAGCATGGAACCAATTACTTTAAGTCATGCAACAGTCATTCTACGAAATACATAATGAGTTGTTCAAGGATATTGTTTTCAACAGTAAATTCATAAACAGTTTCCAAACACACACCCATTACAATACAATGCCTTCGTTGGATAAAGTAATGAGAACTAACTCATACTAACGCAAGTCAGCAGGACACGTTGTTGGCTAACCAAACTTTTCATACCTCAAGCCAGTTGCATTGGTTAGGAACTGAAGTGCATCACTTCTGTTCAACTTCATGTCGCGTACTTTCCGAGAAAAGAGTAGAAAACGAGTAAGTTAGATTGAGAAAATGACTGCAATTTGTACTTGAAAAAGTTTTCGCTCTGCCATCAACACTCCGCACTGCATCACCGGTCCATGAGTGCTATATGTATATATTTGTATGTATATTACCATGGAAGTTTGGGCAGTTAAAGGAGAGTTGGCAGAGAAAGACTACACTCATCTAACATGGAAATGGTATTTTTGTGCTCATTAACTGTTCGAGAATGCATTGCTCAATGCGCTCACCTAACTGAAACTGTGAACGCATATATCCATATGTACATATGTACACACATATGTATGTCTGCTCATTTGCCCTTTCAGCTATACAGGGGAGTTTGCTTTTGAGGTTAAGTTCAAATGTCTCAAACTCTTACGTGAACTCGAAATCAAAATCATTATTATTTCTTACTGCAAATCCTTATGTACATATGTACTTTATTCATTTGTTTGGTCGTTAATACTTGGAGTATGCTTTATAAAGTTTTATATCTACCCGAAAAGACAGAGTGCGCTTATGTATGTAAATAGGTGAGATGTGTTTAATAAATACATTTTAAACATGATTTCATTCGTTTTACGTTCGTGTTTAACAGTATTATAATTGTTATGCGAACAAATAACTATATAAAACTGTAGGCCCTCCATTTGTTGGAAGCACACACACACACCACAGGTTGGAGGAGGAGTTTGGCTGAAATCATGTGGAGGATCGTCTTTTACTTTCGGGATTTGGAGACTTTAGTGTTCAATGGTAACTGATAATTTTATTGTGAAGTTTGTCATTTTTGTGCTCAGAACGTTTAGACATACATACATACAAGCGCTATTTTGCTGAAAATATTCATTTAGACCAAGAAA